TGTTTATCATGCTACTGTTTGGAGAATTCTACGTGATCAAAGTTTGTATCCATTTCATCGGGTTAAAGTACAAGAACTTCTTCCCGAAGATCTCGAGAGAAGAAGAATGTTTTGCGAATGGATTTTGGAAAACCATCAACAAGATCATTCGTTTTCCTCTCACATTTTGTTTACGGATGAATCGTGTTTTCATAGGAAAGGCATAATAAATATGAGAAACATGCACGTCTGAGCAGATGCAAACCCGCACGCTGTGTTTATCAATCATACACAGCAAAATTTTCGAGTAAATTATTGGATGGGTTTTCTTGGGAACCATTTATTAGGTCCATGGAGATTGCCCGATATCTTAACTGGGCAAGAATATCTAAATTTCTTGGAAAACCACCTGCCAGATGTTCTCGAGGATGTACCTCTCGCTGAACGAGTTAATATGTGGTTTATGCAGGATGGTGCTCCACCACATTTTGCTGTTGACGTTCGCCAGTGGTTGCAGCAAAACTTTGCTGCAAGATGGATCGGAAGGGGAAATGACCTTTATGAGAACAATGGTTTTATAGTGGGTTGTCAATTAAAAAAAAATACAAAATTTTGTAGAATTTAAAAACAAAAGAAAATTTCGAAAAAATTTATTCTTAATAAAACATCACATTTTTATAGTACTTTATCATTCATCAATTAGTTTTTCAACAAATAATAAAAATTATAATTATACGAAGTACGAAGTGTTCTATTTTTATCGTTACAAATTTAAATAAATGATATAATATTCAGTTTTAAGATAAACATTTTCTATACATGTTTCGAAAAATGCTGTGTAAGGAAGTTACACCCCCTAAAAGGGTTGCGTTTTTTAAACGGTTTTCCCCAATATTTCAGAATAATAGTATATTATAACACAAGGTAGAGAAGGGATTTTTTATAGCCGAGATGCATCGAGGGAAATAATAAATGCGAGGCTATAAAAATTTTCTCTACCATGTTTTATATAACATTTTTTTTTACTACTAGCACATTTATTACCCAGGAATACAACTGTGAAAAATTAACCCTACGTAATGGACATGTTGCCTCAGACGTAACATGTCGTAATTCACACTACAATTTTTGTTAATTCACTATTACCTACAGTAATTAATTCCTTACCTGAGTTCTTAACTTAAGTTGGAAGTATTATTTTGTACTTCTGCAACTATTAAATGAATTTTCTAACTTCATATAATGAAATATTTGTTAAAATTATTATTAATTATTTAATATTAATATTAATTATTATTAATTAAAGAAATTGCAAAGAAATTGGAAAAAGTATTAAAATTTGCCTCACTACCGATAGTATTTCAAGGAGAAATAAACCCATTTGTTGCTTTGACAGTTTTGACATAGAGAGAAGCATTAGAGTTGGGGTTATTCTGATGTTTTTAATGAGGAAATTTAAGTCTTTTTTATTTGATTTTGCATTAATTTCATCTCTAAATACTTCCATTAGTAGTTGTGAAGGTAATAGTTTTCAATAATACTTATTCTAGAAATATTTGTATCAATGTAGTACCCTCCAACATCAGCATTTACCAACCCCAAATACCAAGGGCTATAATGAAAATGATTATTGACTACTAGGAGAGAAAAACAACTTCACAACCTCTCGACAAAGTGATAATGGCATCTTTTACAGCTAGTAGTGAAAAAAAAACTTCTAGTGGGCTATATTATTTTAAAATACATAGACGCTCCCGAAAACAGCTGTTTTAGGGACTCATTTGAGTCCCTAAAGTGAGTCTTTTCCGGACTCAATAACATAGTATGCAAAACGGTTATTTTAGGTACTCAGTCCCCAAAAAAAAACAGTTTTTGCGGACTAAAAAATAAAATTGGTTACTATGGTAACGAATTTTTTTTAATTAGTAAGAGGTGTGAATTCATATTTTGGGAGCTTTAACAAAAAAATCTTGTATGCACCACGTACGCAAAAGGTTTTAGGTGACTCCTCTCGGCTCCCACGTCGCCTCGTCATTAATTACGATTCGTCCCCTAAAACCCTATTTTGCGTACTTGATACGAGGGCTGTTCTCTTTCTGTTGAGGCTACCTAGGAAGCCATGATTTTTTGACATCTAGTTTATTTTTACAAGTTAGTGTCACTTTTTGTGAGTTTGTCACAAAAAACAGAACAAAGATATCTCTTTTCATTGTTAAGTAATACTAATTTAAAGAAGATCACTTCCAGAAAAATCATGGAATTAAGCAATGAGCACTTTCGTGCCATTATTTTTTATAATTTCAAACGTGGTCTGAGCCCTGACAAATGTTTCAATGAAATTAAGTTGGTGTTTGCGGGTAAGGCGTGTTTTTTGGCAACCATAAAACGCTGGTACAATGAATTTCGCTTTGGTCGTTCTTCTTTGAAAGACGAGTTTCGTGCAAGTCGTCCAAAAACTGCTGTTACTGAAGAAAACATTGCGATAGTACGTCGAATGATAGAGGAAGATCGACATGTTACTGTTCGATAAATTCAGTCAAGCTTGGGGATTGGTGTGAAAGCAATCAACAGCATTTTACACAAGCACTTGAAGGTACGCAAACTTGTGCGCGTTGGATACCGCACAACTTAACACAGACTCAAAAAAGCGATCGCGTCGAATGGTGCCAATGTACCCTCAAACGATTTGCACACGGGACATCTAATTTGGTGTATAACATCATAACAGGTGACGAAAGTTGGATATATTCCTATGATCCCGAAAAAAAGCAGCAGTCAACTGTATGGGTATTTCAAAACGAAAAAGCACCAACAAAAGTGATCCGCAAAAAAAGCTGCAACAAGAAAATGGTTGCTTCTTTTTTCGGAGTTACAGGACATGTTGCAACTGTGACACTTGAGGATCGTAAAACCGTCAATGCTGAATGGTATAGTACCATTTGTTTGCCTACGGTCATCCAGAAAGTACAAGAAAAACGACCGAAAGGAAAGATCATCTTGCATCAAGACAATGCTTCGTCACACACCGCCTCAAAAACGATTGAACTTTTAAACCAAGAGAAGATCGAGTTAATGGGTCATCCTCCATATAGTCCAGACCTGGCACCAAATGACTTTTTAAAATTAAATTACGGAAAATGCGATTTACCACGGCGGATGAAGCTGTAGAAGCTTTCCGAAATGAGGTAAATAACATACCTTCAAACATTTGGCAAAAATGTTTTGAAAATTGGTTTTTACGGATGCAAAAGTGTATTCAGTGTGGTGATGAATATTTTGAAAAGTTATAATAAAGGTCGTTTTATAAATATATAGTGTTTTTCCATGTTAGGCTTAACAGAAAGAGAACAGCCCTCGTACAGTGATGGACAGTGAATTTCGTCCACCCAATTTCCCTGGCAGATTAAAAGTGTAATTTAGTCTTTAGGTTTTTCTAACCTTGTTTCAGAATTTTGATTAACGTTTGTCATGTTGACAGAATGCTCGATGCTTCTTGCTATTTTTTACCTTTGTCCTTTGAAATGGTAGTCCTCGGTATGTTCAAAAGTATAAAGACACTTCTTTGAGACATACATTCTTGTACCAGAGAGATAATTTTTATTTTATTAAACGCACTTACCTACTGCTCGTATGTTCGAATTTGATTAAATTTGACAATACGTATTTGAATGTCAGTTATCATGACAATAAAGCACAGACTACAGTGAATTTTTGTGAATTCACAGAAATTGGGTGGACGAAATTCACTGTCCATCACTGTACATAAATAGCTATTGTTACAAGTACCTCAAACACAGTTTTTGCGGACGAATTGTTGCTGTTTCCGGATGAGGTGAAACCGAGTCTGGAATAGCAGATGAGTCCGCAAAAACGATTTAGGTTGTACGTGTTACAAACAACATTTTTTTGTTAAAGCTCCCAAAACACGAATTCACACCTTTTACTAATTGATTTAAAAAAATTCTCCACCATAGTAACCAATTTAATTTTTTAGTCCGGAAAAACTGTTTTTGGGAACTGAGTGACTAAAATAATCCGTTTTGCTATTTCATTGAGTCCGGAAAAGACTCATTTTAGGGACTCAAATGAGTCTCTAAAGCAGCTGTTTTCGGGAGCGTATACAAAAAACATACTTTTTAATTTTGGAAATACTGAAATAATCCAGTCAGGCTCAGGACAGCTGGTGTCAGGGTATTGATGTCAAGACATTATTTTATAATAATAAGGTGACCTTTTTAAAAATAAAAAGGTTATCCTAGTGAGATCTACAATCAAAATTTGTGGCCAAATAAAAAGACAAAAAAAGTGTCTATGTACAGTTTCTCTATTAATAATTAATATCAATGAAAAACATTGAGTGAACTCCCTGCCTTTCTACAGAATTATAAATAAAACTTCTTTTCGAGTATACGTGTAAAAATTAAGTTAAATTTTTTTGGCCATGATTATAAATGAAATTCGATTTCAACAAAAACATATTGAGAATAATTTAAAATATATGTTAAAGAGTTTAATAGTTAATGAAGTAATAATATACTCCAAAAAGCAGTGATTTTTATTAATAAAATGTGATTTTAAGTGAGTTCAGTAAGCTACTGTGGATGTCTGGAATGCGAAAGCAAATCTCTAGAGTGACTAATTATTATATCAAGTTTCAACACTGACTTCTAGCTAGACAAAACATTTTTTTAAATACTTCAGATGGTGTTTCAAACATTTAGACTACGAGTGTTTTTTTTATCAATGTTCCTATACCTGAATCTCTGAACGCTAGGGTTGGTATTTAGAAAGTTTCGTCCTTGGAAAGTTGCAGTTATCTTTTAAGAAAATGTTCTTGAAATTCATAAGAGATAAAATGTTAAAAGCGCATCATCTTTTGTTCACCACAAATATTTGAGTTATCTAAATGGCAGTTTTGCTTAACATTACACTTTATTTATACAGGCTGTTCCATTTATGCACTACATTAGTTTCCTAATAACATACATGTTTTTAATATAATTCTTTATTTTTTTTTTTAGAAATTAAACTAAATCGGCTTTACGATGGAGGCTTCTAACTCAACTCAAAGACAAGTGCCTCAACCAATAGACGTAAGTAATTTCAAATGTCCATTTTCGCATGTTACAATAACTAAGAGTACACAAGAGTAGAAATTAATTAATCAATTAATTAAATCATTTCTCTACGTGGAGAATTTTTTTTTTATTTCAGGGCTGTGTTTGGATTAGTTAGAAGGTAAAAGTCTCCGTTTTCCGCGGTGAACCGGGCGCAGGTAGACACCAAGAAGGTGCCGTTTTATCCGGTTAGTCGCTTGTATCTCGAAAACGGTGCGTGTTACGAAAAAAATTGATTTTAACTAAATTAAACCTTATTACATTTTCTACAAGATAAGCTTTTCGTTTTTTTTTGTATCTTAAATAGTTTCCGAGATATCGCACTCTTTAAAAAACCGTTTTTTGTCTAACTTTGCATGATGGAATCTAAATTTCAAGTTTACAGTAAAAGTAATTGTGGCGGAATGTTGGTTGTTGATTGCAAATTTTACTGTAAGCCTCTAGAAAGTAGTGTTTTCGTACCTTTCTCCAAGAAAGTGGGGTTATATTTCACATCTTGCATGAATGAATGTTCGGATTCGAAGAAAATTTTCGCTTTCGTGTATCCTCCTTCGTCTTCAATTTATGTTGTGTTTGTAAGCACACAGGATGAATACTTACGGAATGAATACAAATTTGAATTAAGCAGTTTCACTACTTTTGAATGAAACTAAAGTTTCAAGTGATTGGTTTCTCACATTGAATGATGGCCGACCTTACACGGCCCAATCAGAATGCTTACAACTTTTACAACAATTTTTACGTTAATTCATGTTAATTCGTTAATAATTTTTTTCCATAGAGTATGATATGCTAGTAAGTAAATATCTCAAACACTATTTGAGATACCAAAAATCCGAGAAGGCCATCTTATAAAAAAATTTATGAGCATTAAGTTTTTAAAAACTACTTTTTTCTCGGAATACATTTTCAGGATATAAGCGAAAAAGCATAAGACAGCATCTTCTTGGTGCCCCCCTGAGCCCAGCTCACCTCGAAGGACCGGAGATTTTTAGTTTACGTTCTAACTAAACAAATACACTCCAGAAGAAATTATATTCCCGACCATGCATTGTGCAACTTGTTTTTTTTTTATAATACTTGTAGGTCGTCAACTTTTAGCGGTTACATTATTGACCGGGAAATCCAAATATGTCAATGCTCCGTCTACATACAGTGATGGACAGTGAATTTCGTCCACCCAATTTCTGTGAATTCACAAAAATTCACTGTAGTCTGTGCTTTATTGTCATGATAACTGACAATTTAATCAAATTCGAACATACGAGCAGTAGGTAAGTGCGTTTAATAAAATAAAAATTATCTCTCTGGTACAAGAATGTATGTCTCAAAGAAGTGTCTTTATACTTTTGAACATACCGAGGACTACCATTTCAAAGGACAAAGGTAAAAAATAGCAAGAAGCATCGAGCATTCTGTCAACATGACAAACGTTAATCAAAATTCTGAAACAAGGTTAGAAAAACCTAAAGACTAAATTACACTTTTAATCTGCCAGGGAAATTGGGTGGACGAAATTCACTGTCCATCACTGTACGTATGTGTATCTATCTAATACCGTTTTGTTGGTAATTAACATGGAAAACACGTCGTTAGGATAGTTGCTTTACAATTTTTTTGAAACAAATAGGGAAATAGAGCGAGCACATTATTAATGTCAAGTTTTTTTTTCAAGTATTATTTTATACATACTTGTTACTCGTATTATAGAGGGTGCGACAGAACTCGTGCCCAGAGAAAAATGCCATTTAAAGGTAAGATACCAGGAACATGGAAAAAATGTTAAAAAAATTCTGTCTATAAGAATTTCGAAGTTATGAGAGTTTAAATTTTTCATTTTGACGCTATTTATTTCTGTTGGAAAAATAATTTTCCAAGTTTTTTTGCTACAGACTAACAAGGAAGCTGTATCCTAAATTGTAACTCTGTTTAATGCTTTTATTGCCATAATTTTTGTACCTTTACTAAATAATTATAAAAAAAAACATATACAAGATCATCACTATTTTTCTCTGGGGCGCAAGTTCTGACACAATGATTACGATACTGTTCTTTACGAACAGTTTCAAAATCAGTGTAAAAAAGATTTTATCGAAAAAATTTTTTGTCCTTTCAATTCTTGAGGCTATTTTGGAGATCATTATGAGAAGGTTCTGATATGGATCGAACTACACACATATATTTCAAACTTGCTGTTTTCGAGAAAATAACAATCATGGAACATCTTTGAAATCAATATCTGGCAACTCAGATAAAATATCTTGTTTTAAGAAACTACATTTTCTAATCACTACTCTCAAGGGTTTTTATAACATTTATTCTATTTTAGAGAATAAGGATTATCACTGGATAACCATCAAAATAATACCAAATTTTTGTCTATGTCCAAACATTCATAGTTGACTAAATTATACAATTTTTATTTTCAGATAAGAGAGTACAGGGAGAATGTAGGGATTGGGGATACTTACCAAATACCAGAAATTCCAGCGAAAAGGAAAGTGACCGATTTTAAATTCACGGTTGTGTTTGCAGTTTTTTTAGCCATCTTGGTGGGTTTTAGGGAATATAAAAAGTCCAATAATAGCTAACTCTCACATTCGCAGGTACCCTTTTTAATATACACATTTGTTCAATCTGATCTCGATAGATTAATTCACGGATATGACAAATGCGGCAACGTTTGTGGCGAGAAAAATATACAAGTTTTTGGTATTAATTGCTCGGGACAAGATACGACAAATAAGCCGTAAGATAACATAGAGTGTAATTAGGCATATGCAAAACAATATTTTGAAGGTTTCTGAGATTTCGGAAAAATAGGAATGCCTTGTCGGACGATGACGAACAATTCTTGAGGGATGAATGTGTCCATGAATGTGGGCCTGGATAGTAAGTACAATTTAGATATAAGTCGAAAATATATATTTAATTCATTTCCATAATGTGAATTAGGTTTTCATTTTAATGGTCAAAAAAAGTGGCAAATATCTATTTTAACTTTTATCAGCACTTTGATTGTGGACTTATTTCAGCGATTATCCTGGCGCCTCCACCATTTTTATTGATTTTAATATTCCCAAACTATTTTATTAGAAATATCAATTATTTAAAAGATTTTGTTGAACCGAGGTAGAACATCACAAGTTCAAGCTTTTTTCTTCAATTTTCAATTTTTCTTCAATTTTGATTTTTTCGATTTTGATTTTTTAACAATACTTTGACTATAGATTTTTATTTCAGAGATTATCCCGGCGCCTTCACCATTTTTATTGAATGTAACATTCCTAAACTATTTTATTAGAAGTATTAATTATTTTTAAAGATTTTGTCGAACCCAAGTAGAACATCACATCAGACTTTTGTGTTCGATTTTCAACAAGAATTCTGTTTATTTTAAGATATTTCAGGAATCTAGTAAAAAATTGCAAGATGAGTCCACCATTAAAAAATAGGAAAACTGTTTTGGTAATTCGATTGTTTCCTTTATCATTCGACGACAGTGATTAAAAATTGGGGTTTTAAAATTATAACTTATAAAAAACAAGATTGTCATATTGCCGTGAAAGAGTCAAGAAATCTGTATTTTATTCTGTGAATATTCTTTAAAAATTGATCAAAATCTGTTTTTTTCTGAAGGCACTTTTTATCATTTATCTAACCTTGTCTTGTAGCTTCTTCAAAGTTCTAGATGTTTAAACGTCCCACTCTCTAAGTTCAAAAAATATTTGTGTTGGTGTTATAGAAATTTGATCAAATTGTGAAATTTTGTCGCAGAGAAAAATATTCTTTTGTTCTAAAGTTTTGTTGTTAAAGTTTTAAAATATCTTTTTTAGTGTGGAATTGTTCAACAGATGTTATCCTTCGAAATCATCGTCTGAGATTGAAGTCCACTCGGAGTTTGATGTATGAAACTCAAACATCATCAATCAAACCATTTACCATTTTCTGTATTTTTTAGAATATAGGTCGAGACATCAATAAATCTGCGGGTTACATAGTTCTAATGTGCCTCATAGGATTGGGTACCTAAATAGCTCATAACACAAATACGAAAATTTAATATTTTTGTTTTAGTATTTTCTGTTGGAATGCTTTTCTTGTTCAGATATTTCGTTACGGTGGTCGTTTGGGTCATACTCATCGGTTCACTTCTTGGAATCATTGCTTTGACTGGAATATTCTTGTGAGTAAGAATACGCCATTTACTTTTTTTTTAATTTTGAATACATTTTAGGTACTTGATTATCAACCCGCAAACTGGCTCCAGCTCTTCTGGTTTAGAATTCCTAGCCATCTTCTTCACAGTCTTTTCAGTGATTTTGATAATAATATTAATTTGCATGTTCAAGAGATTCAAACTCGTCATCCGACTGTTTGAAGAAGCAATCAAAGTTATTTTTGGCATTCCTGTAATTGTCTTTGAACCTCTTTTGGTCAGTTATGCAATTTTGATTATCGCAAATATTAATTGTTCTCTTTTAGACGTTTGTTGCAAGTACTATTTTATTGATAATATTCGTATTCTTTTTGATTGTAATGTCCACCGCTGGAATCTTGCAAAAAATAGACTTTGATATGTGTGACTACATAACAAATTTTGCGATTCTCTTTACCTTGTTCTTGCACCTCGTGATTAGTTTGTGGATGTGGCAATTTATTATTGGTTGCCAACATATGGTCATTTCTGGCGCTGTCGCATCTTACTATTTCGCAAGGTATTTAAAGGCTTTTAACGGAACAGTTGAGAAAACAATGATTTTCAAATTTTGGTAAAATAAACTTTTTTAAGTCTTTTCAAAGATTAATTAATTAACTAAATCGCAATTCGAGGACATTGTTTTCACAAATTTGTGTCGTGCTCCTTAAAGACGAAACAAAACGTATTTTTTAGGGACAAGTCATCTGTGGTTTTCCCCGTCTATACCAGTTTTTACAATTTAGTCAGATATCACCTAGGTTCGATTGTTCTTGGTTCTTTTATTATTACAATTGTTGCTCTAATTAGAGCTTTAATAAGAGGTCTAATAAATAACAAACATGCCAAAGGTCTGGTCGACTGCTGCTTAGGAGCTATTGAGGACTTCCTGAAATTCCTTTCCAAGAACGCTTACATCCTTATAGGTATTTTCACGAAACATTTTGGTCAAAATTAGCACAGGAAAGTGATTTTAGCCATGCATGGACAACCATTTTTTAAGTCTGGAAAACGAGCTGGACGATTGCTTGCCTCGAATGCTCTTAGTACAATTGCAGTGAATTCTGTTGGCTTTTTTGTGTTGGGTATGTCTATTGATAGTCGTGGCGACTGTGTTGGTTGGAATTTCAATGGCTGTGAGTATAATTTGAAAATGTGAATTACAAGAGTAAATATTGCGTTTTTAGGATCCTTCTATCAAAAACTTCTGGGCTGCTATCATAATCAGCGCGATTGTGACTGCGATTATAGCTAATTGCTTCTTTGCTGTTTTTGAGGTAGGTATGCTCAGTTATTGTTTATTTATAATTACTTGAATTGAAATTAAAATTTCAGACTGCGATTGATACTATCTTCCTTTGCTTCCTTGAGGATAGTTGCATAAATGACGGAACGGAACGTCCATATTACATGAGCGTGAATCTTATGCAATATGTAGAAGAAGCCAAGAAAACGGCGAACCAAAAAAATCATGCGTAAAATATACGCATTCAAGAACAATATATTTAGTATTTGCGTGTTTTTTTGGTAGAATAGGTTGCGTTTGTTTCATGTTACTGGTTATTTTATTACAAAGTACGACGAAATATTTTTGTAATTCATACGTATACTGTTGTAATTTAGGTTATTTTTTGATAATACTTTTACATTGTAAGAGTACTCTTACTCATACTTACTAAATTTTTTTGATCTAGTTACCCTGCTAACAATAATCTTTAAAAATATTTAGCTTAGAATGAATTTTTATTTTTTATATGCCTATACAGCGTGCGCCAGAACTCGCGCCCCAGAGAAAAATGTCAAATGCCGGCGGCAATAGGAGAAAATCACCCGCCAATAGATGGTACTGAAACATCAATGTTTTCCCCATTTGAATAGTTTACAGTTGATGTCCTAGATGTCTCCTTTCTTAATTTTGGCGCGTAGCTTAGACGACGGCGCGGCGACGTTTTGGCGGGATTTTGACGGAATTTTGTGACAACTTAAAAGTTTTATTTAATCTGTCTGTAGGAGTATTTTTTTTATTTAAAATAATAATGCCAAAAGTTGAAATCTCCATTTTAGAAAGTAATGCATCGAAATAGACCCTCCTACATAGTTTTTGCAATGAAGTATGGAACCAAAATGCTTGTAAGTACTCATATTTACATTGACTTGTCAAATTGACAAAAATTAAAAACTGATATTGTCAAAATATGTTTTCCTCATTTGGATAGTTTCTAGCCTGCCACCAGAGGTCAGCTACTTTGCTGAATGTCTCCTATGGGTCGCCAAAAAGTGCAGCCGAAGAAGTAATTTTTGCTTGCATAAGAAAGTTGAGAGACCCTTAATTCCACCAATCCCAGAAGGGCACCTCAGGGTGTCATTGGAAAATTATATCCATTGCTAGGTTAGAAAAATAATACCAATTTGCCTAAAAGTTTCAAAAAATAGCTGGATTACTGTAATTGTCTGTCATGTTTTTGACATAACACGCTATTTTCGAATATTTTTCTCGCTGAAGATGCTGTGCACAAGTATAATGAGACGAAATCGTTGAAAATTTGTGAAAACTCGATTTTCATTGCGATGACCCAACAACTATTTTAATACTTTTAGATGTTTTCTTCAGAAGCATTGTTCCTACTGTAATATTTCTTGAAAAGGGGGCCTTGTCTGAATTTTCCACAGGGTTGTACTCCCGAATGGTGGACGCCAAAATTTCCCCTACGTTGTGTTTGTTGTGTCTCGAAAATAAAAAGAAAATAATTAGAAAAGAAAATTCTAATTGACCTGAGGTATAACGAGGCCGCGTTGTAAGAAAGAAAACACTAGTTTCAAACCACACTTAAATTTATTGAACATAAAACATGAAATAAATAGAACTTGGTTCTGATTGTTTATTTCATCAAATAAAATCAAAAGAAAAATGAACAAATAAATTATCCAAAATTTCCTAAGTTCTGGTTTTTCGGTGCTTTGAAATAAATCAAGAGAAATTAAATGATAGATTGGTTTGATGTGAAAATTGCAAATAGGTTTCGATTGGATTGACGGAAATTGGTAGTTGTACTTCTCTCACTAGTACAGGTGGGTAAATTATAAAATGTTATAGTTGTTCAAGTCAATAAGACAGGAATTCGGACTGAACTTAACGGCCTAATATTTATAAATATGTGTCAGGGATACAACGTCCTAAACTGCCGGCCTGTAGTCGAATTAATGGGCTAAAAGGTTTTGGGGAACTTTGGTTGTCGAAACCTTTTAAATTTTGGAGAAAATGCCGAAACAATTTAATTAGAATGATTATTATAAATTGATTAGATTAGATCAAAGATCATTAATAAAATTATCAAATAATAATTCCAGGGGGGGGTAGTTTACCAGAACGTTAACAAAACATGCATTAATTAATTAAGATGCACGAATTAAATTATTCTCTAATTACGTAAGGGAAATCAGTAATCCTAAACTTACGTTATTTATGATTTGGACACTTTCACTACGAAAATAGAAAATTGTGACGAATGCGAAATTACGTCTTAACTCTCGGCTCTCTCGAATCGAAGTCCCGTCCCCGAAAATCAACTAGTCCGTTTTTTTCTCTCTCTAGCCATCCCTCTCCGGTACTACTCTTTCCCTACTCTAAAGCTTTGACAAATCCCGATTTTGTTAATAATTTAAACAACCAAAAGAACCAAGTTCAGTTAACAACAAAATGAACTTAAACTAAGCTAATTAAAATTACCTAAACTGACTTTTGACCCAGACGTTGCTGATCCGCTGACGACAATAATTTGCAACGATTTACATTTACATTTTACAGGTCTTACCTTAAATCTTAAGGTCTTACCTTAAATTAATACATCTGTAAACCTATAAATTATAATGGGCGATAGAAGAAGAAGAAAAGAAGGAAAGATTTATTGAAAAGTCAATTGCCATGCAAAATAGATTAGAGAGTTTGAAAGTGAGATAGATATCGTCCCATTGTATGTACAACATTGCAAATTCCTTAATCTAATTAAGCCTAAAATTCCAACTTATGTCAAATTTACAACACGTTTCCTCTCATTGCCCTTCTGATATTAACAAAAATTAATACAATTTAAATAAAATTTACAATGAAGAATTTGTGCATTCGAAGAAACACACGTATGGCCTTCGGGCTATTAGACGTGACGTCACAGACGCGACTGTACTGAAGCTAAACATACAGTGTTGCCAGTTGTGATACTAGAGTACCAAATTGATACTAGATTTTTTTTACTAGATATTTATATTTACTTGTAAACAAATAATAATTTATATTCTCAGCCAAATACACATTATGTCAATGTTAATATATTTTATTTTGTTTTGATACGACCTATCCACTCCTGTCGTTTGCAACATTCTGGCAATGCTGTAAAGATAATTTTGACGTACACAGAAAGTGAGGTTAGAACAGATTAAATTACAGAAACTTTCCCGCTTGTTCATTATTTATCACTTTCCGTGCTCGTTATGTAATATACTATAAAAAAAATCTATCTGTCAAAAAATTTTGACATTTGTTTTTCGACATTTGATATTTTTCACTGAACTCGTATTAATAGAAATGGCGTTCTATGCTGAGCTTGTATAGATTGTGTGAAGCATACATAACCTATAAAATCCCATGTATTTTGTTTACTTTGCCCACCGTACCAGTGGCGGCTCGTTTTGTAATTAAAAAAGGAGACGTTTATTAGGACGTAATTGAATTAGGAAATACATTTATTATATAAAAAAAGGGTTTTGAGCAAACATATGTATATTTGGTCAAAACGAAATCTCCTAATCCCAAAGCATTGATCCACTAACGTCTCAAAGTTTCACCTGAGGGTAACCTATAAAAAACAAATGTAAAATTGCAAGTAATATACATCTTTCGTGAAAAATTTTAATAAAACAAAGCTATAATTCATGGCAAAAATTTGCTTCTTATAAACCTCATTCTACGCCTATGTATTGTTTACAAATTGTGAGTTTACTTACTTGTGGAAAGAAATCCAAGATTTAGCGGATTCTGCACACTACATAAGAATTAACCATAGCGTTTTATTGTAAAAACAGTACAAAACACACTTAAAAATTGGAAAAATTACGGTCAGAAAATGTGACAGTTGTCGACTGTCAAAAACAATAGGAATCGACCAATCACAAGCCTTGTCTCTTGTAAACACATGCAGAGGTTATGTATGTTACACACAAACCAAGRCCAAACGCAATTCTATATATATGAGTTCAGTGATATTTTTTTTATGTCTATTTAATGATAATGATGATCTTGTATGTTTTTTTTATAATTATTTAGTAAATGTACAGAACTTTTGCCAAGAAAAGCCTCAAATAAATTTAGGATACAGCTTTCTTGTTTCCTCTTCTAATAGCCTGTAGCAAAAAAAAATAAATAGAGTCAAAGTGCAAAATTTAAACTCTCATAATTAAACATAAATTAATTTTAGCTTTTTATAATTTTTGTATGTTTTTATTTTTTCTATCCTTAGTAGATAGACAGTCTTGTTTTAGTTAAATCGCCATGTACAAATACAAAATTTTCCAGTACTTATTTAATCAAATTTTCTATTAATATAATCTACAAAAATTTTCATGTTGTCATAACCATCATCTTCTTCGCCAGTTTGAACAAAATCTTCCACAACATTTAACTTGCCTCTCAAATAATCCATTAATTTCCCCACAATAGAATGCAGCGTTTGCACCCGTTTTTCATTTTTCAAAATAATTTCCATCACGACTGAATTACAACTTTTCACTGATTGCACCTACCAAAAACACGAAAAAAATCCCCCAAATTTGGTCATCACAAATTTTACCGATTTTGCTTCCTTGAGAAACATTCTCCTTTCTTCTAACTCAATCGACTCTTGCCTCAATTGTTCACTCAACTCAGTTTCCTCTTCCGTAACAGTTTGTTTTTCAAGAGAATATTTCTTCACCAAATCACCCAAAACCTTATCATTGATTTTTATCAATTTCAAAATGTGTTTTATCAAGCTTTCCACACATTCTAGGCAATGAATCTCAACTTGCACCCTAAACCCATGATAATTCCTCCCGACTTCCCTCATAAAATCATCAAAAGTTGGTTGGACTTTCCCCTGGTTGATTATGGGCCCGTGCGTACCATAGAAACCCTTAAAAATTGACAATTAGAAGTCAGTCAAAGTCAAAATTTTTGTGTGCAAAATGGATGAGAAAAAGCGGACGATGAGAGGCATTCCCCTCGACAAGCAGCGACTCTGGAGCTATTTTATCGAAATCGAAGAAAAACTCCGATTAAAATGGTTCAAAAAAAACGAGGCTCGTTTGGACGAAATCGCCAATAAAGTCCACCTGAGACAAGTCCCTGATGAAGTCAAAGAAGAATTAAAAGAACGCATGAATAACTACTTCAAAACCATTGAAAAAAGACACACTGTGATGCATGACGACGCACCCCCAATTGTTGAAGAAGCAGCCCTTCAGAGCATCATGCGACCTGTTGACAAACACGTCAAGGATTTGCTGTATGCAAGTATGGATCTTGGTGTTTTTTGCCCCGGTGCCTATTTTACCAACTCTAGGTGCGATAAATGAAGGACGAAAAGCTTACTTACAAGAACGCTACAAGATAATACCGGAAAAACGGTATTATTTTCCTGAAACGACGAGTTTTCAATACGGATGGAGTATGTCCGAGTTTAGTAAAAATATAAAAGGGAGTCCGTTTGCAAGACAGCAAATTATTAAAGAGTCGTTTTACCGGAGGAGAGGGGTGGCTCAAGACCCAGAATGGTACAAAGAACCGGCCAAACTCAGTCCGCAAGTTTGTGGGAGGATTTAGGGGTGGGAGTGGGTGTTTTGTTTTGTTATGTTTTGGTGGTTGTAATAAATAAGTGATAAAAATTGGACTTTTTTATCAAATTATACAGTCGGGGAATACCTGACCTGACTTTATCATCGAAACAACACTTTTTTATACAGAGGGTATACAACTAAACTCTGTGGTGGTACATTACCATTTTCAAATAAAAAAGCAACACGGATATTGTTTTAAAAATTGTTACTGTTAAAATTTAATTTTGTTAATTATTACCGACTATTATCATGTGGAACAGTAAAAGAACGCGGGTTCATCCTGGATGTATCACCAATTAATAGTATATTATACAACGAGCGTATAATGATGGTTATTATTCACGAGGTGAAGTTTACGTCCACGAGCCGCAGGCGAGTGGCGTAAATCACCGAGTGAGTAATAATCATTATACGCGAATAGTATACTATATTTTATCCACGACTACTAAATATTTTTGTTGAAGCTTTTGTGTTGGAAAATTTTCTTACATTAAGTATGTTAAGAAACAGATATACGAGACACATATTCGAAGTTGGTAATGGCTCTGTGTCGATGCTGGTTGCCTTCCAACCGCGAGTCCCGGATTCGAATCTGGTCAAGAAAAATTATGTACAGAACTGAATTGAAAATATTTAGTGGTTTACACGATAAAATTTTAAAAACCAATAATTGTTTGTAGCAAAACAATATAATATTATAACTAAATCAAGGAAGCTTCTGACAACAGTGATTAATGAGAGTGATTAATGACTCATTAATCACTAGTGATTAATGGGTATTATTAAGATCGAGCAAACAGACGTATAAGGGGTACATTATACAATAGTCGTGGATAAAAATATTTAAACAAATAACAAATTTTAATTTTACTTCATACCGCCAAGAATGATTAAGAAAAAATTTTTCTACACAAAATTGTTACAGGATAGCTTATGCGTCATTTTCCTACACCCTATACGGGATAATTCAAAAGATTGGTTTTTATGTACAGGGTGCTGCATTTTGGATATCCGAATAGGGAATCTCGAAAACTAAGAGGTTTAGCCAAAAACGAGTAAACATTGTGGGGCTCATTTTTTGAGAAAATAATATTGTTTAAAACCGCATCCCGCTATTGTCTTTTGTTTTCGACTTATAGACAAAAATTGACATTTTAGCGAAATCTAAAAAAATTCATATCTTCGTTATTATAGAAGATATAGATTTGAAATAAAAACATTGTACAGACACTTTTTTACGTAGATTTTAATAATGTAGTTAACAGTTTTTTTCAGTTGTTTGTTTAGCCGTAATAAAATAAACTTGTATTTTTTTTAAGGGGAATCATATATGGCTATGTCATTTTTAAAAAGCTTGTTTTTTTCTTATTTAAAAAATATATATAGTTGTAACAAATTATTATAATACATTTTTAGCAAAAAATTATCTTTGATTTTTGTTTGCAGTTGGCCATGAAAAAATGTTGCAACTTCAACTAAAAGGTTTTAAACTATATTATTCAACCAGTGTTACTAATGAAAGAGTTTTCTAAGTACTGAAAAAAATGCTAAATAAATTGTAAATCAACTTATTGGTGACTAATAACATTTCTTTGTTTTTAAACAAGCTAACATTACCATTGTAACTTCTAGTATTACATAGAGTGTTGTAAAAAAAGCCACTTTAAAATATATTTTATATGACACAAAAATGACGATATGGCTATTCAAATACCCAAATTCCGTCTATGTGGAACGTTATCCTACCTCCATTAGATCATCAAAAAAAGGTTTTTTTTCTAATTGTGTTGATTGTTGACATGAGGCGCTCGCATATTTGTTCAATACTTCTACCGTATTATATTTTTTTAAATTTTTCTAATTTTATCTATTTTTTCATCTATTTTACAGTTCACAAAACTCTTAAAAATGAGAATGTATCACTCGTTTTTGGCTAAACATCTTAGTTTCGGAGATTCCCTATTTGGACATCCAAAATGCAGCACCCTGTACAGTGAGATCAAATAGTTTCTCTATTAAGCAAGCCTTGGAATTTAGAACTTGTGTCTGCGGAAGATAAAATGTCACAATTAGAAATATGAAATGTCAAAATAATTTTTATGTAAACTGTAACAGTAATTCGTGGTGAACGATCAACTACATTTCATTTTAGAGTGTTTTAAGACATTTGATACCGTCCTAAACAAATTTGCTAAATCAATATTTTGATTTTCATAAAATAATTTTTTGACATTTAGCTGACATATGAACTGTCAAACAACATACATTCTCAACTAGTACGCCTACTTGATAGAAAGACTTTTTGAATGCACTGTAGAACCACTTACTTACTCTCAAAATTGCAAACAGAAAAAAACTTTGAGAAAAATGCTATTTTAGTTTTTTTTTTCAATTAAGAAAACGAATTTTGTGTTTAATTAACAAAGAACGTTAAAATATGATGTAAAATGTTGTCCATTTGTGTTAAACATTGATATTTTCGAAATTACGCATAAAAAGATCCTAAAAACATTCTTGTGCTCCTACGAGTATTAACGTTTTCTATAACCAGCAATGTTGTGATTCAATTCTTTTGAATCACTGTGTAAAGTTAAAAATGTATATTTAAAAGTGTTACAGGTAAAAAAACAAAGTGATGAATGATTGTTTGAAATTTAATCACTTTCAATTAGCACCATGTATACCAAAAGTAGGTACAAAATAATTACACCAAAAAATAAAGTAAAACCCTCTTTACAATTTGCAAAACTTTACTTTTCTATTATTAGTAATAAAGATGTATTTTCAAAATTTTACAACGAATTGTCACGAACTCAGTAACATTGTAAAATCTAAAAAAAGTTTAATACGGTATTGGCGGAATAATAAATAATACTTGTTACTAATAATCCAAAGTAATTTTCACCTTGTCTAAAATTTTATCTTAATTTATCTGTGCTTTTTATGACATCATAATCAGCTAAGTCCTTACTTGACTCTATTTTTAAAATAATTAAAAAATACAGGATGCGCCAGAACTCGCGCCCCAGAGAAAAATGCCATATATGCCGATACCAGGAACATGGCAAAAATTAAAAAAAAAATTATAAAAATTTCGAAGTTATGAGAGTTTAAATTTTGCACTATGACTCTACAGGCTGATTCTTAAATAGACCGACAAAATTTTATCACAGTTTCCCAAAAATAAATGGAGACAAACTGTAACCTTTTTACGTTTATATCTTTTAGGGACAAAACCCCCTTGATCCGTGCCACTTACGGCGTTTATGAATTGTTGCAATGATCAAATACATTTTTATCAAGTTAAAACCATGGTTGCCACTACCTGTGTTAATACTAATTACGAAGACATCAGTGGCGAACGCTTTATCTCGAAAATAACTTTAATAAATTTTATTTGGAGAACCGTTAAACAAAGGATTTTTTTAATATGTACCAAGGATAAAATTTTGTCGGTCAATTTAAGAATCATCCTGTATTTATTGCTGTTGGAAAAATAATTTTCCAAGTTTTTTTGCTACAGGCTATTAGAACAGGAAACAAGGAAGCTGTATCCTAAATTGTAACTATGTTTAACGTTATTTTGTGGCTTTTATTGGCAAAATTTATGTCCCTTCACTAAATAATTAAAAAAAAAACATATACAAGATTATCAGTATCATTAAATAGACATAAAAAATGGCAAATGTCAAAGAATAAATGTCAAAATTTTTTGACAAATAGAATTTTTTAAACATTTTTTCCTGGTATCTTACTTGAAATTTTTCTGTGGGGTGCGAGTTTTGGCGCACCTTGTATATCCTTTTACAAATACTGAAATTCCACTGGTAGGACAAAATCAGCGAAATGCGAAGTATCAAAATGCTAGTAAAACTTAATGTTTTATATTTAAAAACTGAAAAACTGTAATTTCAATTTAATTTCAGCCATCTATCTGTTGCTGATGTTCTTCTACTAATCACAAATTTTTAATTATAATATTATCAAGTTGGCTCTGTTAATGCAATGCTAAAAAATTATAGTAAGAAAGTGCTTCTAAGAGGATAATTTACGAAAAATAAAAAATAAAGGAAAAAACGCATTTTTCTTATGTCCTATTTCTCTTTTTGTTCTTTACTTTCTTTAGTTTCTTTTATAAAAAAATATAAAATGTGCGATTTTGTAGTATTCGTTACTAAAGAATTTTGTTTCATTTTCAACTATAATTTGTTGTTGCACGTTTTTTCAAAATTTTTGATTTTGTCAATAAATTGTTCTACTTTACTTTTCTAAAATAATTACTAGGTAGTACTAAGATTTTCCCCCAATGAAACATTCAAATTTTTTGTCGACCAAAGAGTGAGTAAAAATAGTATGGAAAATTTTTATTATTCTAGCAAACATGAAACCAAATTCAATAATTTATGATCTATACATAAGTATTCGAGAAATACACACGGTGATTTCAATAAGTCGAACCATCGCTTATACCAGGTGAATAAAAAGTATGGAACCAAGCGTTTTTTTCGTAAACTAAGCACTTTACAAAAAAAAAAATTAGTGTAGCGTAAAGTCCAATTAAAATGTGACCATTTATTCAGAATAACAGAATAACAACCGAAGTGGTTGTTTTCATCATGGGAGAGCGCTGATTTCTATGCAGGTGCTTTGGGGTGGTTTCGAATGGACTAAAAATAAAAGAAAATGATTTGTTTTTACATTTTTTGATCCAACCGGAACCACCCCAAAACACCTGCACCAAAAACCGGGCTCTCCAACGACCAAAGTCATGAAACGACTCCCTCGTTCAAGTTCGGAAAATCTTCGTGATGAGCTTGGAACGCAACTTTAACAATTAGTTAAAAAAAAAGTACTGGCTAAAAAACAATTTTATTTAATTAGAGGTAATTTTTAGATCATAATCTTTAATTAAAAAAATTACCATGGTGGGTTGCCTTAAAAAAGTTTTTTTTCCAGAACTCGAAAACTAAAAGAAATTTCGAAAAATCTTATTCTTGGTAAATGGTCACATTTTAATTGGACTTTACGCTACACTAATTATTTTTTTCGTAAAGTGCTTAGTTTACGAAAAAAACGCTTGGTTCCATACTTTTTATTCACCTGGTATGTGATGCATTAATAAAACCGCAGACGTACTTTTATAATTTTTTTACTAATAAAATATAAAATTACTTTCCTTGAATAACAAAAAATTAATATCAAAGTTGTATCAACCTATGAATAAGGTTAGCAGAAAATTTTTGCATGCAATTTCACGTTATAATTAAATGATTCTAAAAACCACCCAAACGATGGTACATCCTTTTGCATCTACGTGTATAATAGATTGCTAATCAGAATTTAATTTAGTTCTATTGCTTCTTTATATGTTGGTAACCTATTACTCCTTTCAGGTTCGACATTCGGTAAAACCACCACGATTTCAGTAGTTCCTAAAAACATAAATTTTTCATACTTATTCAGATAAATAAACTTATTTTTTTCTACTTTGACAAAGTGGCTCTTCTTGCAAAGGTGGGTCTCTAATCGTTCTGCGAGTTTGCTTAAATGGTTTCAAACAACAATAATTAACAACAAGAACTACAAATAAAAGGAGAACAAGGGCAATAGCTAACCTACAATAAAGAAAATGATATGCTATATTGTCAAAAACTGTCTGTCTGTCTATACCAGACGAACCAAGGAATGTCATCGAAAACCGAACAGCAGCCCTTGAGACAACATTTTTCGTAAGGTGCTTTACAATGATAACTGTGGGAGCCTAGATATCTGTCCGAAAGATCCGTACTGTAGTTGGCATTTTTACGTAGAGTACAAATTATACCTGAAGAAGCCTAAAACATTTTCCATACTATTACTTTTAGTACTCACCTGTTGAAAATTGTACAGGAAAAATAGCAATAAAAGGATTTTATTTGGGTACATTATGGATATTTCTATGTATTTATAAATTACAAAAGCAAATGTAGTGACAGAATGCGTTTATATCTTATAAATGATAAGATAACAATATTGCATTAAATACTGCGTTTTAATTTTATACAGAAGCGCACTCCCAGCGGCATCTTTGATGTTTAACAAGCAGCTCGGGTGACCTCGAGTATTTAATCCAAAGTGCACTTAAAAAAATGTAACTAGAATTGTAGTTCCAATGTATAAATAAATTGAACTAAATCTCAAATGTCATATGGGTAGATATCTATTCTATTTCGATAGAACTCTTACTTTATGCCTGATTTCTGGAAACATATTTAACGCAGAAATGAATTTAAACGTCGGTTAAACCATGTCAATTACCGTCAATTAGATCAACGGTTAAATTTTAACTAAGGTGAACGCTAATACGAACAAAACTAATTAATAAAATGATTATTCATTGTGCTTTAGAGTCAATTTTTACGTTGAATATTAATATGTTATTAAAAAAAAAAACTGTTTTTCGATACGCTATCTAAAATAGTTATTTTACGGACATCTGAGTCCCTAAAATGAGTCTTTTTCAGATTTAATACAGCTTTTGTGGATGAAAAAACAATCTAGTTACTATGGTGGCAATCTGATTAAAATCCGAAGCTCACTATTTTCGAGAACTATTTGCTTTGGTCACATTAATCATACATAATAATAGGTGAAAATGTGTTTTTGGGAGCTTTAACAAAAAATGTTGTTTGTAACACATACTTAAAATGTTTTTGCGGATTCATCTGCTATTCTAGACTCGGCTTTGCCTCGTCCGGAAACAACAATTCGTTCAAAAAAAACTGTATTTTGAGTACTTAGAACAAAATAGTTCTTATCATATTTCTTAAAATAAATTTGTTCACTTTACTCAAATATTTCATATTTTTATAATGAAAAATCCAAATTCTTATTCAACCCTTTAGGTAGTAAAAAGTAAAATAAAAAAATAAAATGTAATAATTTATCATTTGTATTCGAAAAGTCTACAGCTGATCCCAAAACGTCGAACCATCGCTTAATATGTGGTGTAAAATGCGAAAAAGTAAGTCTTCTACTTTTCCGAAAAAACTAGAATTATTTTCTCATTTTACTTATTGTTTTATAATTTTTTTTACTAATAAAACACAACATTACTTTCATTAAATAAAAAATAATAATCTTGGATTTTTTTGCAATTTTGAAAATAATGATTCTAAAAACTATTTGAATGATGGTGCGTACTTCTGAATCACCCTGTATAATACATTAATTATCATTAGGTAAACAAAATTATTTAACTTCTTTTTATTGCTTCTTCATATGTTGGTAACGTATCACTATTATCATCAGATTCGACTTTCACTAAAACCACCACATTATCAGTAGTTCCTAAAAATTTCCCATATTTATTCAGGTAAAACAAATTAATTTTTTTACTTCGAAAAAGTGGCACTTCGTGCAAAGGTGGGACTATAATTCGCCTTAACTTTCTCAAATAACAATAAATAAAAACAAAAAAAAACAATAAAAGTACACAGGCAAAAGCAATAATTAACCTACAATAAAAAATACGCTATTTTGCCAAAAACTGTTTGTCTGTCTATACCAAATGTACCAAGGAATGTCATTAAAAACTAAACAACAGCCCTCGAGACAACATCTTTCCAAAAGTACTTTACAATAATAAACCTCCTGTTGGTAGGTGTCGCGTATGACACACATTAAGCTTGAAGAAGCCTAAAACAATTAACCATTTTCCATACTATTATTAATTTTAGTACTCACTTGGTGAAAACTATACAGGAAAAGTAACAGTAAGAAGATTTTATTTCGGTACATGGTGGATATAAAATCGATAAAGCCTAAAAGCAATAACTGGACAGAACGCGTTTGTATATGATAAGTGATAAGATAATAATATTGAAATGAATACATACACAGGGCGACAAAAAAAAGTCATGTCGTGACGACTTGACAAATTATATATCATTTTGTTCGTCTCAGTGAGACAAATCAAAAAAATCAAGATATGATTTTTTGAAGTTAAGGTTTGCTATTCAGTCATTGCGCCATATACGAGTATGTTAATCTTACTTAAATTAAATTAAATTTTTTATAAAAGTATTTGTTTTATTTATGACTCTTCTTTTGCTTAAAAATGGTCAAATGCACCTTCTTTGTTCTAATTATAATATACAAAAACTGTTTCTTTATCAAAACAAACAAAGAGTATCTGCGTACTAATTAAAGCAAATAAAGAGTTTTTTTATTGTAAAAATGACCACTGATCAATGAGCAAAGAGGATGTAGAAGTTTAAGGCGCGAGCCTTAAATATAAGGGCAAATCTTTTTCAAATTAAATCATTTTCCATTCAGATTCCAACTTGTTTACTTTGTTCTAGCTTTCTGAACTTTTTTTTTTTAATATTCTCAGCGAATGCCTTGTCATTACTTTCTACTGATGTTGAATGCAATAAGTCAGTTGCTTCGTGTGCAACTGTTATCACAACAACTACTACCTGCAACCTAACTGAAGCTAATCGTAGAATGTACCAACAAAATAAATCAGGTGACTTATTTAACATCACTCGAAAGTTATGAGAAAGTCTTTGCTTAGAACATTTTCAAAAAAAGTTCAGAAAGCTAGAACAAAGTGAACAAGTCGGAATCTGAATCGAAAGTGATTTGATTTGAAAAAGATTTGCCCTTATATTTAAGGCTCACGCCATAAACTTCTGCATCCTCTTTGCTCAATGATCAGTGGTCATTTTTACAATAACAAAAACTCTTTATTTGCTTTGATTAGTACGAAGGTGCTCATTGTTTGTTTTAAGTAAAGAAACAGTTTTTGTTTATTCTAATTAGAACAAAGAAGGTGCAATTAACCATTTTCAAGCAAGAGAAGAGTCATAAAACAAATACTTTTATAAAAAAAAATAATTTAATTTAAGTAAGATTAACAAACTCGTATATGGCACAATGACTGAATAGCAAACCTTAACTTCAAAAAATCATATCTTGAAAACTACTCGGTATATTATTTTAAAAATTGTGATTCCAACTAATAAAAAGATGCTCTACACGATGGTGGCGACGAAAAAAATACTCGTAGGGTTTTTTTTAGATTACTTCGATTTACTTCGAAAGTTCGCCAATATTCAATTTCGAATTGCAAATTGCAAATGGATTCAGCTGAGCCACATAAACTCACCTTTACTCCAAATAACATATATTATTTTATCTGCAAACGATTCAGATGGAGAGAAAAGAGCAACACATCAATAATCAAGTAAATCACCTCAATAATCAGGACGCTTTGCAATAAATCATAACAAACGTCACGCGTCAGTTTCGGAATTTGTATTGAGATTTCGAAAGTGTTGATTGATTTAACTGGTGAAGCACTGGTATAGTTTATAGTGCAAAATGTAGAATGCTGATAATCTACCTTGTAAAGTCTGTTTTTTATTTAAATGGAAATGACCAAGTCAAAATTTTGGTGAAAAAATTGGTAGCAGCTTGTCTCCATAGCCACAAATTTTGTTTGCTTTTTGTTTTTGTCCCTAGAAATTTTGTTAGAAAAATTATGGATATGTTTTCAAATTGAGATGTTGTCAAAAGTTTGACTTTGTGATACCTGAGGACAGACATCATTACCTAAGGTCTAAAGACAGAATTCAGTGCTTATAATTTTGATAGAAACACACCTCAAGTAAGTACAATGTTGTGGACAAAAATGAGGTTCTTGCTACAAAAACATTAAAGAAAAAAGATGTATGTACAGAAAAAAGTTATTTAGCATAATTATACAAGTCGGTATTATTATGATTGGCAATACGACATGACTTTTTTTTGTCACACTGTGTTATTGAATTTCAATTTCACTAAATTTTAAATTCATTTATTTTTCCCGTGTAACTAATTGCTTTCTTTCCAACTAAAATTTAATTCGAAAAGTCATTTCGCTAAGTTTTGTATTACTTAAAATTAGATAAACAGCATATTTTAAAACAATGAAATTGATTTATCTTTAATAATTGTTATACAGGGAGAATCAATCAATTTTTACCGGAATCAATAACTTTACCTACAACCTAAAACGTTATTGTCTTTAGTTTATTATTAACCAATAAAACCAAAAACTATTAAGCTGGAACATTCCGTATAAAAATTTTGAAAAAAATTATTTACCTTAGCCGTTGTTGCAATTTCTTCAAACGAGGAATCAATCAATTCATTCAATTGGAAAATATAACTCCTCTCAATATTTTCAGAATCTCCAATCATAAAGTTATCAATTTCGACAATTTTTTCGATACATTCCTGCAGCGCATCCTTCATAATATCAAAATGTTTGCGTTTCCAAATTTCTATTTTGGACATATCTGAGAAATAATCGATATTCGCATCGATTCGGTGAATTTTAAATTTTGTGTCGTAGGCCAACTTGCGGATATTTTCACGAAGTTGTTTGATTTTTTCACATGTTTTTTCATTATGCTCGAACTCCTTTAGAGATTTGTTTAATCTTCAATAATAAAATTTAAAAAAAAAAACAGAAACAAATTGTAATTTGGCACCGATCCAAAACTGCAATTTCGATCCGTCGAAACATATTCACAATTTCAGGTTTTGAAGCCTCAAACTCGGCATAAACCTTTTTGAACTTTTTAGGAACCCCTTTTTGCATTTTCAGGAACCGTTTTTTGTAGATTTTGGCTTCGTCACGATTAAAATTACCCCCTTCTGAAAATAATCTGGAAGAAACGTTTTGGTAAAGTTTTAAAAAAAATCACTTGATTTTGGTGCCAAAATGGCAAATCATTGCGATGATGTTTTTCCGATTTTGTTCGATTTCGTTGTAATTATCTTTGAACGTTTCTTCAAATTTCGTTTTAGCTTCTTCCGAAAGAGTCTTCGTTTGTTCGATACAAGCCGCAACGTGAAATGATTTTGTCGAATTTTGTAATTTTTCTTCAATTCCTCTCATCGCCGACTCGAACTCTTCAACAATTTCAACTCTTTTTTCTTTGGAGAGTTGAGTGGCTTGGCGAGAGTCAGTCACGTATTTCTGTACCTTCTAAAAAATATACTGAGTGACAGTGAAATTGCTAATGTTGCATTTTTATCATCAGCGAGTGTATTTACACACATTTTCAAGTTTTTGAATAGAATTTTGATGGTCTTCGAGTTCTTTCAACCTAACATCATAAATCATTGTTTTGACTCGAATGTATCTTGGTCTGAGAGTGCTTTCTCTAATTTCGAGTCTTTTTCGAAGTTTACTTTTGACGTGGTCCATCCACTGCTCAGCTTGTTTTAACTGTTCGGAACGACACGTGACCATATATGCTTTAAGTGCTTCCCAGAGGCTTAAATTTGATTATTTTTTTTCTTTTTTTTATTGTGTTTCAGTGGTACCCAAACATCCAATTATTGACAGCGTCGACTTGATATTGACAACATTTCATTTGATAAGGAATCAAATTGTCTTCAGAATTATTCGGAGAAGGTTGTTGTTCTTGAGCAACATTAATATTCTGCCAACTTCTCCTCTCATGGATCGGTTCCTTATCAGCATTTTCGCCTAGAAATCGATCAAGTTCACTTATCAACAATTCAGTTTCTTGCTCAGTCAATTCGTAATATTTCGTTATTAATTTAATCTCAGCTTCGCATTGACTTGAATACCTGAAATTTTTTTGTCAAAAAATGACCGGACTTATTAGAAAAATTACAAGTTTCCTGTTAAATCCAGAAACTTATTCACATCTCTGAGATGTTTATTGAGTTTGGCTACAGACGAACCTTCTCGCAACTTATCCAGAGAATTATTCATCTTTTTTTCAAAAGTTTGGGCCAGTTTGTTGTGTTTTTCAATCAAATTTGTCAAATCTTTCAAAACCAATTCCTTTATTTCGTCGGTACGTGCGAAATGGTTGTCCCACAAATGGGCGGAATTTTTCAAAAATGTGTTAGTGTTGTTAATATTTGTCTCCATGTAAGTCGTAATGTTGGTCCACAAATTCTAAAATATATAAGGTGATTCCAAAGAGTTGGACAATCTCGTATAAGGTGATAGAAAACGTGAATAGAAACTCAGATTTGCTTCCATATTTTTTCTACCACTTGGTTTAAAAAATACCGTGCGATCAAATTAGAGTAGGCGACGATTACTGTTCGACAGTTGGTAACACGAAATTTTCCACACAAACTGGGAGTGAAAATAACCATTCGCCATTTTCGTCTTGTACAGCATTTTTGTAATAACTTGCAACAATAAAAATTTTCTGCTCTAAAGTGAACATTATTTCACACAAAACGAATTAAACGCAAACTTGTCAGAATTTCCGCTGACATTTGACGTCAAAAATCAGGATTGCCATCTGAAGGACTTTAATCACCGCCTATTCTAATATATTTTTTCTTTGATCGCACGGTATTACTGTTTAAAGATATCACAAATTGACAACGCTGTACATTTTAAAACACATTGACCTATACCCAATAATTTGAAAAGTTTGTTACTATGGAAACAAACAAATTTTTGATGCGCTATTGTCACCTTTACCTCGTCAAAAGTTCTCTACAGGGTGATACTTAAATAGACCGACAAAATTTTATAACAGCTTCCCAAGGATACATGGAGACAAACTGTACCCTTTTTACGTTTATATCCTTTAGGGGCATAACCCCCTTGATCCGTGCCACTTACGGCGTTTATGAATTGTTGCAATGATAAAGTACATTTTCATTAGAGTTCCTATATTAGAGAACGGTTAAACAAAGATTTTTTTAAACGTTTTTTCCAGCATGTTTCATTTGATACTTCCAAGGATAAAATTTTGTCGGTCTATTTACACTCTGTATATTTGACAGGAGTTTTATGCATGTTTTAGATATTAATTAACCTTAAGATTTTATTTATTTGTAAGTATTATAATTTATTTTTTGTTTATTTAAAGCAAATTTTTTAATAAAAAAAAATTAATAAAATTGTTCTTGGAAATTATCACCTGCAATTCTGCAATGTCGCACGTGTAGAGCTCTGCAACATCGAGAAGAATGGACTTGTAAGGTCCTGAAGTAATAGATTCCAAAGTGAGACGGTTATTCAACTGATTGTCCTCCTCAGTTAGAGCATTTGTAATGAGTTTCAAGTCGTCAAAAAATCGATTAAAAATTTGAAGCACTGCTATTTTGTACAAACTGATCAGTTTTTTGGCAGTTACGTCCAAACTTTCCAAAGTTTTTTGAATTCGTTGTTCCCACATTTCCAAATCTGTTGCAGACAAAGGTAAGGAAACTTGGGCATAACTGGGGTCCCCCAACGCCAAAAATGGTAACTTTGTACTTTCGATAATGTTATTACGTTCACGAGGAGGCCTAAATTGGGAAAATTATTTTAGAAAATTATCGGTATTTGAAGAAACGTACATAACTTCTTTCCATTTCATGTTGGTAACGGCCATTTTATGTCTCTCTTTAGCGTCATGCGAATTTATAAGAAATACAGGAATTTCTTCTTGAATTTGTAATTTTAGGTCTGTGTGCATTTGTGCGTAGTGGCCGTAATTGCTCATTGAAATTTCATTGATTTTCTACAAATGATAATTTAGTGTCAGAAATTTGACTTTGGGACTCAGTCCAACTGAAATTTCTTGATCAAAATAATAAGCCAGGTCATAGGGCAACAAATGGCAGATTTTCCCGGTTTTTCTATACGCCTCATTGAAGACACCTTTAAAAAATGTCAATCTTTTCTTTTCCAAAGCTTGAAGTTTGTCATAAAACTGGTCAATAATCCTCAATCGACGATTATTCAAATCTTGGATAGTTTGCATCAAAGTTTCAAATGTTCCAAAACTCAAATTGGCGAGCTAAAAAACTCATCAAAATCCTCAAAAATCGAACAAACCTTTTCCTCCTCCATGTCTTTAAATACAACACTAGTTTCGGCTTCTATTTGTGTTTTGATTTTGCCTAAACTTTCCTTTAAACTGTTTCCTTCACTTCTAATTTCGTCCTCAATTTGTAAATTAATTTTCCGGCATTCAAGTCGAAGAAAGTCCAAAGTGGATTTGTGTTCATTTTGCCGTTTTGTGAGTAGTCTTTCGATGGTTTTGGACGATCCCGGTAAAGAGGCTAGATCAATTTTGTTAAACGAAAGTCAATTCAAAAACTGCAAATTTTACCAACATTGGCAGGAATTGATACCACATTAGTGTATTCTTCAGTTAGGGGCCGAAAATTCATTTTGAATAACAGTTTTTTGACAAATTGTCAGATTTGTTGTAAGTGTTGTCAGTACTGTCAATCAACGCAGACGACGGTTGTCACCACGATCGTAAAATAGACAGGTCTGGAAACTGGTGTTTCAAAATTGAATAAAAAAATCTGGATCTCAGTAGGTTTTGAGGGCAACTATACCCGTGGTGCCTCTATCGGATACTACGTTAATTACTGCGTATTTATGTGAATCTTGTGTGGAACGCGAGGCGACCGTGACGTCACGACTTTCCTACTTCAACAGAATTAAATGATTCAATGATGACATTGCACATCGTGTGACAAAATATCTTTTTTCCACTACTAGATGTGAAGTTGACAATTATTGCGTCTCCTAGCCAACTGAGAAGTTGAATTTCTCTATTAGTGGTTAATAATTTTTTCAATTATTAACATAATTTTTTAACCTAGGTTAATAATGAACAAATTCGAATGTTTTGAGAATCCAGGGATAGTTGTTTAACAAAAACTTGTGCAACGTAATTTTGTATACCCAGGAGATTGTCTTTAACGTATTTGCTGCTTGAAATTACCTAACACGATAAAATTATTTGAATAAAAATGCCATTAGTTTAAAATTCGCGCTCAACCAATAAATGACAGATGAGTGATGACATCCCGCAACTACATCATGGCGGAATGCGGGAGTCGGAGCTTGGTTATGGTGTTATGGTAGAAAACTATCGAAACAACAGAACTTTATTTAAACAAGTATTAATACAATGAACATAAATTATTGTTTCCCAAAGTTATAATTAATTGTGCAATTGTGGCAAGTCATAGTGATTGTTGCACCCGATGTGTTAGTTTAGAGCTGTTGTTGGTAAATTAATAACCGTATTATGTAGAGTAGGTACTGGTTTCATTGATGTTATTAGGTGAAGATAAGGTTGATGGAAATGCAGCTGTGACTCGACTGATAAAGCCACAGAAGTTGAAGATGTGGAAGGCCCTTGGAGCATATCTGCGATTGACCTTTTGAGTACCAGTGAATCCTCAATGTAACCTTCTGCTACCGTTGCAGATTTCCAACCCCCATCTTGTTTTAGTTGTAGTGTGTTACCGCCACTAGCCGCTAAAATAGTGGCAGAAGTTCTTCGAAAGCTATGACTAGTGAAGGGGCAGCAGTTCGTCGTTTAACTGCTCTGCAGCTTCCCGCATTTCAGGCAGTGTATAATTAATTTCTAACATATTATCCTTATTTAAAAAAACACTCAAACACGACAATGACAAACGTGTGAAAATAAGTTTTTTCTACTTTGCGTTCGTACTAAGGTCCATTACGAAATTGTTTTGAGTTTCGTAATGAACAAAAACAGTGCTATAAAAATTATACTAAAAAGAGGGAAATTTAGTCTTATAATGTTGGCGACCTAACCGTTTTTCCATCGAACTGTCAGTGTCAATCGGTCTAACGCAAATGAAATTATTGAAATACGAAATTTTTGCTGTGTTTGGTTTAACTAATCATCGCAAAAAATATTCCGAATGAACATGATTATAGTGGTGCTTACGCATACCTTTAGATCATAGGACAAAGTAAAATAAAAGGAACTTACTGTTAGTTTTGAGACTTTTGTGGTTAGGTAGATTTTGCCGTCAACTTACTGAACAATATTGGGGTGTGATCTCAAAGGGAGTAAACTGTTCATCGTATTTGCCGTTAACGTCGGTATTTCTAATGACGTTTCAAATTAATTTATTTCATAGCCACCTAGTCACCACGCAATGTCGCCAACTGCCGCAAAATTCCCTACATTCCAAAATTTTTATTTTTTTGTTTAAAAAAGTACAAAGTAGAAAAAATACTGTATGATATCTCGTTTATAAGACATTTTGTTGCACTTACTGCTTTATGACACTCCTCGCTGCGCTCGTCGTGTCCTAAACACGTGCGTGCGACAAAATGCTTCTTATAAAACTCGTATCATAATGTACTATTATTAGTGGAAATGTCAATCTGCATCAGACTACTTGATTTTGTTTTATTAGCGGAAAGACAAATTTGCATTCCTGTGCTACTTGATTTTTACAAGAAAAAAATTATTTTTATCTTTTGTCTTAAATTTGGCTAGTAGTGGAAAAAATAGTATATACACCACGGTGGTGAAGACATTTATAGGCCTCGCACCTTATTCCGCTCGGGGCGAAACCCCTCGCGTAATAATCTTGGTGCTCGGTCAATAATAATAGTCTTCGCCACCTTGGTGTATAATATTTTTATAACTCTTGATAGCTTATTTGTAGAAAGCACTATTTTACAGGGATTTGTGTTTTAATGAGATTGTTTTAGATTTTTTATTTGTTTAATGATGTTTTTTAAAGTTTAGTTAAAAATTTAATCTCAAACCTTTATTAAAAAAACGCTACATTTACATTTTTTAGAGTCAAATATGTCACAAATTTAAACTTTCTATATAAAGAAAAAGAATTCTGTGTTACACTGGATTCCACAGACCAATAAAGTATAAAGACGGTTATACAGGGTGTTTCACATAACTTTACGAGGCTTGCCCTTAATGTACGCACCCAAATATACAAAAGTCACAAAACACTAGATACAAAAAATACACTTCTAATAACATATTTAATTTTTGGAAACCCATGACAGTAGTTGTCAAACTAATCACTGTTTCATTAATAGTCATAAACTGCAGTTTTTCAGAAACAATTATCATTTGTTCTATCAAGAGACGGCATGAATATGATTTTAGTTTATCTATCTTAATTACTAACTAACTAAAAACGTTGCAAAATTTTAAAGGGTGAACAAACTAGAGAAGATAATTCAATTTTTCAAAATTTGTAATCGAGTTCGTATCGGAATATGTATTATTGATTGCGTCTTACAGGCGCAGGCCTCGTAAAATTATGTGAAACATCCTGTATAAATAAATATATAAATATATTTTTTTCCTATATAAATCATAGAAGACACGGCGACGCTAGCGCGGCTCGAGCGTTAGGCCAAACTAAAGTATATAAAGTTGCATACATATGGGTGTTTTATCTTATTTTTCAATCAAAAATAGCTATAAGTAGGAAAAAAACGAAGATGAATATAGCTATTTAACAAGAAACACTTTAATTTAAAATGAAACATAAAACAACAACAAACATAAAATTAACTAGAACCGGGTATATTTTGGAAGATGTTCAATCGCTTCTTATACTTCTTTGCTCTAATTTCGTCTTGAAATTTTCTCGGAAATCTTGTAATTTTTTAAAAACTATTAATTTTACAGTTTTATAATATTATTTTTAAGTGCAGTTTTGTGTGCGGCACAAGTGTTCCAGTTGAAATTTATTGCTTTTAAAAGAACAGTTTTAAGTTTTTGTGTTATGTTGTCAATTTCACCGAATTTGTTTATATAAAATATAACAGCATCAAAAATTGCGGCAACACAAAAGCATAAATCTTTGCTGGTATATTGTAGTCTCAGTTTCTTGTTGTCGTATTCTTTACACAGGCTGTATTATGAAAAACGCCCCAAGCCATAACTCCATTATTTTTAAAGTTATAACAATAATTCTTAGAACAAAGTTGAACATTTTTTGTCATATTTTTATGGCTTCAATATTATTAAGCCATCCACATTTGAATGGCATATCTTCTTTAATCTGGCCGGTTTCTTCATTGTAAAATTTTCAACTTCTAATTTTAGTTTTGATTGATTCCTAAAAGCTCCAATGACAACATGTAGATGTTAATGCTCGTCTCAAAGGTGTATCACACCTACCAGTCTTCACTCCGCTAGAATTAAAACTGTCAAACAAATCATTTACGTCTTTAACAAAGTATGCAGTTTCCAAAGCTTGTTGTGACGCTTGTTGACAATCTACTAAAGTCTCTAGACTAGCTGCCATTGTTGCACTAAGGGTTTTTGCAGCTACAGAAACTTCCATTTTTAAAAGACGATATTTATCCACATAAAGATAACATTCCCTAATTTTGCGTAATGTTTGAAAGTGCTTATTTTTGTCATATTCATAAGCTTTCCGTAAAAACAAAAATTTCGCTTTTCTTGTCTCTACAAATAAAATTGTGTACTTCAGCAATGAATTGCGAGTGGATTTTAACAAATATGGAACATCGTAAAAACTGCCAATTTGTTGGGAATTCATAAAAAAATATGGTTTTGAAATGTCTACATTAGAACTAATTGTAAAAGAATTAATCGCTTTTGTATTTGTCGTAGCTTGGTCACACACTGTGCAGGCCTCCTTTTAAACCAATATTTTGTAGTGCCAAAATAACTTCTGAGATTAAAAGCTTTGACTTTTCACTTTTTGTTGTATTTTTTATGAAATAGATGAAATAGTATGCTATGGGCTGTTTTCAGCCTAAATATACTCCTTGGATCATAAAAACAAATGCATGGTTTGCCAGCTTTTTAGTATGACCCAGAGATCCCAAATCTTCGTACCCAATAATTTTGTCTTGTCCTTTTGAATATGTCAAGTTTGTACTGAGGGCAATTTCATCAAACATCACTGTACAAACTTTATCTTTGTTATTCAATTTTGTCACACTTTTTCGAAGTTTTTCAAATAACGGCATGTTCAGTCCTGAGTCAAAAGAAACATGCTTGCAAAAATTGTTTAGGGTTGATTTTGAAAGTAAACTCAAAAAACGTCGCAAAACTCTGTATCACTTGGGTCCCCATCTCGTATAACGCTAAAGCAAAAACTTTATTTTCGATGGACCAGGATGGATTCAGTTTCTTAATATTTCTAAACTGAGATTTTATAAACTCCATTCCTACAGAATTGAAATTAGACTCCAAATTATCAATTAATTGATCTTGTGTTAATTTTTTTAATTTTCTTGACTCTTCACTGACTCTACTGGATCCAAACACTTTTAAAATGCTATTCGCAATTATTGATGGCATTTTATCTAAAATTTTGGTAGAGTTTTTCGAAACTTCAATAACCGTTGCTACATTTTCACAAAATTCATTTTTTCTCTCATTAGTACAGTGCAATCAAAAAGTCTGTCCATCAAGCAGAAATTTAAAACGTATGTCTGTGCAAGGCCATCTGAACCAAAAAGCTGCGCTTATAAGGCCGTTTCATTCTCCATGATAACTGTTTCTGCAGAGTGGCCATAAAAACAAAAAATTCAGAACCTTATTGTGCGCCCTCGGTGGCTGATTAACGAATAAACATTGGCGGCAATTTAAAACAATGCCCTTCAATTTTACAAAATAATGGTATAAAATGGTAAAAACCGTGTTTCATTTGTGGGGCAAAAAATGTTCGATTATTTGAAATTCTGAGCAATATGCAACAAAGGCAAAAATGGTGCGAAACTTTTGAAACGTTTTGCGGTAAGCAAATTTATGCAGACAATGATAAGGACAACCTTTTACTTTGTTTTTGTA